TCTTCAAATAACTTGGGGCTTTCATTGTCTTATCAACAGAATGATGCTGCAAGAATCAGAAATATGTCTGGGAATTGCTTTTCAACTTACCAAATGCTCACCCCATCAGTTGGGGAACCATCTGATAGCAGCTCAATTCAGAAATGCCAAAGCTTGACTGATTGGGCTGAGCCTAGCAACAAGAAGAGGATAGTTGATGGCCCCACAGAAGTTGTGGTGCAGCGGAGACAGCGCAGGATGATCAAGAATCGGGAGTCGGCTGCTCGATCTCGGGCTAGAAAGCAGGTTTGAACTAAACTATGATTCATATGATCGTATAAAATACATTTGTTTAAGTCATTGATGCACCGAGACATCGAGTCGTTGTCGTTTGTTGCTGTCGTTTGTTGCTGTTGCTGTTGTTCGTTCATCTGAGTTACCGGGTTTGGATTGCAGGCATACACAGTGGAGTTGGAAGCAGAACTGAAACAGCTTAAAGAAGAGAATGTAAAACTAAAGCAAATCATGGTAAAGTTTTTTCCTTGTGTAGCAACTCTCTACATTACTACAATTGTTATCTAACATACAACCGTGCAGGCTGAATCAGAGAGGAAAAGAAAGCAAGAGGTAAGCAACTCGGGTCGATTTTTCGAGGTTTTTCAGTATGAGATTACTGTGGTTGCCTTACATAACACTTTGAATGGATATCCATGGCAGATACTGCAGAGGAAGCCTGAAAAGAGACAGAAGCCAACACAAAGGTTGATGACGATGAAGAGGAATGCAAGCACGGGTTGGTGAAGGGGAAAGAGTTGGGGTTTTATATGAAAATGCTGAAAATTTTACACCAAGTTAAGGATGTATAAACAACTATATAATATAACTCTTACATTACATAAACTTATATAAAGGCAATGAGCTTTGTGTTGTAGTGTGGTCATTTGTGTATGGAACAATACTACTTGTCTCGAACCAGTTACACCATTATGTTCGACACTTGAATCACTTAACTGCATCTTCGGAGCTCACATTATAAATATCAGACCAAACCTCTATTACATTGGTATGATATTATTCACTTTAACATTTAGTACTTGTCCATGGGTGGGGCCCATGGGTGGGGCTTTCAAAAGGAATCGAATTGGATATGTGGCAGTCACCCTGGTGTCCCATAACACATGGAATTCTAGTAGTATGACAGAGAAGTCAGGAACAAGCATGGACGTGTCTATGTCATAAAGTTTAAGCAATGTTAAAAGGGAACCCATGGAATGGTCTCACTTTCAGCTACTTTCCAAATCTTTTAACCCCCAAGTGCTTCAAGCTGGAAACTTGGATCTCTTGCCTTTTCTTTTCCCCTGGATTTGATACAAGAAAAGACAGGTTATGGTAATAGATGGTTGACTCTTTATGTACTCCACCATTGTGACAACGGATGCATTTTAAAAATCTTGAGAAGAAGCCCGAAAGAGAAGACTAAAAAAAGGACTATCTACTAGTCGTAGGCGTGAGAGATAGTGTGTATAAACTCGATTTTACTGCATCCTTCCTACATTTTCAGTTGGAGGAGGTGGTATTAATGAGCAAGTGGTTGGGACAGGACACAAGGTCATTGGAGGAGGTGGTGGGAGTGAAAGCATTGGGTAGAACAAAGACAGACGAATCAGAATACTTTTGTGGCTCTTAAATTGATTCAGAGCACAAAGACAGCTCCGTGTGATTCCTTCCCTTCCCCACACTTGGATGGGAATTAGGATTTCATTCATGATAACTGTTCATAAGTTCCAAATCATGCTCGCTCAAAAATCTTATTATGTGCAAAGTTGTAAAGCATTGTACACAGGATAGCCTAAAAGCACTAAAGAGAAAAAATTTCCTTTCCGACCAGTCATTGGCCAGCCTAATCAAAATATACCAAAAAATAATGAAGCAAGTTACCTAATAACATCAAAATCATCGATATAAAACCGTAGGAGGTATCTTGAACTTGTCCGACAAGAAAGGTATTCTCTGTGGCCTAGCAATCAAATCGTAATAGAAAGCATACTCTGCCTCATAATCGTGTAAACCCAGTTCGGCCTTCTGGTTTGTGTGATAATGGTGCCTTGCTGAAGCCAATTTCCCAAACCCAAATATGCTTACTTTGTCACAAATTCCTACGGCCAACATAACGGCTTGCATGCCAGAAGAATAGTGGAATAAGGGACCTTCGTGGGCTGAGCTCCATTCTTCCAACGATTTCCCTGTCACCTCCACAAAGCGTTTGATTGAGTAATACTTTACAATCCTAGAGCACAGAGCATCAAAACTTGGATCTGTTATCAGCAGCGGGGATTTGTGGGAACTGTTGCAGACAGTGTAGTCCATGAAATGTACAGGTTGACAAATGTACATGATTGTCGGCACGTTTGGCCCATAAGGATGGCAAAAACACCCTTCTCTTCTGGCACAAAGGTGCAAGATGTTGCTATTGATGAAAGAAACGCTGGTTTTGGACCCAACTTTGCTCTCATACTTGTTTGTTTTTGCATTGTTCAATCGGATAACAATCTCATGGCTGTCAATTAGCTTCCCATAATCACTATTCAATAGGATTCCACTGTTTCCCACGACGGCACATGATGAATACCGTTGATCTGAACCCACCAACCCGTTGTGCCTGTCCAGTGGGGCTTTGATAAGCCTTACCAGTTCTGGCATTATATCCGTCGTAAACCCTTTTCTTCTCACCCAGCCACTCAATGCCCGCCTGAAATCCAACCAATGTCGGTAGAAAGCTGGAGAGCGGAATGTCACTGGAAAGCTATTCGAGGGCCTCGCTTTCATGTCATAGTGATTGAATCTTCGCCAAGTAGCGAAAGTCTTGTACGTCCTCGGACCACCAAATTTCCCCTCCAATAACTGCTCTATCTCTCGCTTCGACTGAGCCTCTCCCAAATCAACCGAAGCAAATTTCAGCAGTGTGGAATTGAACATGAATGCTGGAGATCTTGGAGAGATTACATTAGTTTCCATCTCAAAGAAACTGAGGCCGCGGCGGAAGATGAGGCGGCAGATGAGAGTGACGGCAAAGGTAAGGAACAGCAACACGCTGAACACTGGACGGACCGTGCGCTTCATCGCGACGGACCGATTGGGGGGCAATGCTAAATGAAACCTAGCATTGGCTGGACAGATCTTGAACCAATATGTCGCAGATCGACTCCCTGGAAGTTCGGCATCCAAAGAGATAATAGGGGAACAGTTAAGATGCTTCGAATTTAAACTCAGAAAAGGCGAGATTTATGTGATTGCTTAGAGATTTTGAAAGGCAACAAGCAGTGAATATGAATGCAATCTCGTCGGTGACGAGATTAGAAAGAGTAGGTAAGAAACAAGAACCACGCATCCAGAGAATCCGAGCGAAAATGAAATCCCGAAGATCCAGAATACAGAGTTAGATACAAAATACACCGATCCAAAAGAGAATCTTCTCAAAGAACAGTAACACCAATAAAGATCCGAAAGAAACAGCAGGCAAGCAATTTCCTAATTAACACTACTACAAGTAACTGAACTACAAATTTTGCTGTTAGAACTTAGAACCCCAATGTCGGTTCCAAGCCACCATTCACCATTAAAACGTAAAAAAAAACATTCAGAGAAGATCAGGGAGTTCAGTAGAAGTGACGGACAAACACAGAATCCCAGAAACCATAAACGAAACCATAAGATTCAAACCAGAGTTACAAACCCTAACATAGATCCGCGGGTTCCATTGAGAGAAGCAAAGAAAGCTCAGAATCACAAGCATTGTCTTTCGAATTCGGACGGTATTTCCCGTCGATCTTCCGGCCATTATTGCACGCTTTATATACACAAAAAAATTATAAGGTAAGGCGCAGTACATGTCAGTAACCAAATGGATGGCTCCACGTGGCATTTTTATTATGGTATTTACATCAGACGGTTCAGATCACGCCTCTGTCCCGTCATGTACCACGCTTATGGAACTGGAATTCACACATAATCCAAGAAATTCTCGAGTGTTTTTATACCCTAAATGGAACTTGACGTGGCACCTTATTATTATTGAGGGGTTTGGTTGGTAATCACGAGAAAGAGCATGATTAAACCTTATAATATAGAATTAATTAATGAATTATAAATTTAGTTATTGGTGGGGATCGGTTTAAAGAATATAATATTATTCCTAGATACAGAATGTTGCGACAAGAACGATAGTGGTTTTTTTTTGGGCATAAGATGACGGTCTACTTCAGAATCAGATCAGCCCGCTACTTTTACCTGTCATTTTTCGTGAACTCGATTGGGGAATATTCCTTTTTCTCTTTTTTTTTTTTTTTAAATAAAATAAAATCAGTTTTAATCTAAACTTAACTTTTTATATCATGGATCATGCTCGGTTTAGTGGCTTAAACACACCATTATCATCCCACTCAAAACTTATTTTTTTAATACATTCTATGTATATAAAAAAAATCACTTTTTATTTTTTTTCAATGGTTACGATAATATTATCTAATTAAATTAATTAACAATGTCGAGAGTGCAATATATGCTTGCAAATTAAATTGAGATAAATTTGATAGCACTAGTAGGATACTCGTTTTTTGTATGACAAAAAGAATGAATGTTTGATAGCTTAGTTGTGCTCGTGCTCGTGCTCGTTTGAAGCATAATGAACATACGAGTTCAATATATACTCATCTAAACCTCTCGCCCTCTCCAGCTAGGCGGGCAAAGCGATGAGATTTAAACTATCCCATTTAGTAATTTTCGTGCCATTCATTCGTTCGTAAGGAATTCAATGCAAAAGATTGGCTTGATGTATAGAGCTTTCCAAATCTAGACAGTCAATTATGAACCCTCTTTATTTATTTAACTACCTACTACGTCCATATTGACCAGTTCTTCATATTTGTGTTATTTATGTTTTGTAATTAGGAAAATAGGTCTCAATTATCTTGTATGATAAATATTTTATTAGTTTTATGTTGGGTTTGGTCAATAATTTAATTGATCAGGAAAATATTTTTCCTTGTTTTAAGTAGAATTAAATTGAAATACAAGTAACATTATTGAATATTTATACAACCACCAATATTTTCGAAATGGTCCAACGCAAATCCCGTCCCGTCGGCTAACCCACCACAAGCTGGCCCCACACGAAATCGACATACATCAAGGAAGAAAGATGATGATCAAAATGACCATTTTGTCCCTCTCTTTCTCAGATCTTCTGCAGTTTCTCTCCTTTCACCACCGGATTCGCTTTTGCGATCTGATCCTTCCCCATCTGCTTGAAGTCAAATTCACACCCGTGTTGCTCCGGGTACCGGTGAGTCCCACAGTACACCATCCCGCACCTGCACTTAAACCCTGTCAATCCCACGCGCCGCCTGCACGTCATACACCGGCTCGGCTGCTGCTGTGCCGGTGCTGGCGCCACTTCCGTCCTCGTCTGCGCCTTCTCTGCCACCTCCGCCAGCGGCTGGTTCGCTTCTGTTGAAGCCGGTTTCAGATCTAACAAAGCGGCATCCGCGAACGAGGATGACGTAACGGCGGATGTTAGGGTTTGGTTTAGCGCGAGCTTGGCGGAGGAAGATTGTTGTTCCTTCATCTGCAGATCTCGGTAGCACTTCGAACAAAGATCTCGAGTCGCCGGACTCCCAAAGAATCCGCAGTTATTAACGCAGAGCTTCGGCGCTTGGCATCGATGTTCTTCCGCCATCCTTCTCCAATCTCAATTAAACAATACCTATAATCTACAACAACAACACAAATCAGAAGAACAAAACAAACAAATTAGGTCGAATTCCAAATCAGAAAACGAACAAAATGATCCACAAACAAGAACAAAAAATCAAGAGAAAACAAGAGGATTACCTGTTGGAAATGATTCAAACGATCCGCAGAAAATCGATAAAATAGAAGATCGAACGAAACGAAATGAAAAACTCAACCGATTCTGAAAGAGAGAACCGATGGAAGGAGAGGAATCAAAGCTATGGCTTTGAAGGATAGCAAAGGAATCTCCAAAATAATTATAAAGGAAGAAATTGAAAAGGCCAAAGAAGAGTAAACCGACAAGACGGGAAAGGGCGGTTGTGAGCTCTCTGGAGATTCCTTTTGGGTCTGAAAAGAAAGTTCCAGACAATTTCCTTTGCCCGTCCCCTTCTTTTTCTCTTTCGTATTTGGTATTCCTCCTGTTTATTTCTATTAATTATATTGAATTTTTTGTCATTAATAATTTAATTTTAATTATTTTTCCACTTTTCTTTGCCACCAAACAAACGCCGATTCCATCTCTTTAAGTACGCGTTTCGCTGGTTCAATGCCGTAATAAAAACTACGCGTGAAAACCAAATCACGGTTGTAAGTTGGCTGGCGATCCAAATCATCTAGAAATCGCCGAGTTTAATTCATTTTAATTTCGTTTTCAAGTCCATGGCTACCGATTTTCTTTCTTTTTAATCTGCAGATAATATAAGTTTTTTTCTTTCTTTCTAAATTCACTTATTTATTAGATATTGTTGACGTTGAAGCTTATCAAGAACATCACCATTCAGACTCATCTCAATTGTTATTTTATGAAAAAGGGGATTCTGTTTATCCAATAAATTAATTACCTGTTGTTTTCTTTATACTAAATTAATAAAAATGTTTTTAAATTAAAAAAACAGTTTCAATGCCCTTGGGAGAAGTCCAAAAAATACCATTAATTTTTTAAACAAATTCAAAATACCATTAGAGCTCATATTGAATAGAAATTGTTAATACTTTATTTAAAAAATCTCATAAAGTTGTTTCAAAATTACTATTTAACTCTTAAAAGTTAAAAAAAAAAAAAAACTAGTTTTCAAAAATTTTATTAATGCCTTTTTAACTTTTTAAAAATTTCAAAAACATTATTATTATTATTATTATTTTAACTAGGGTGTTTAAAAAATACTCACATTTTCTTTTTTTTTTTTGTACATTTAAGGTAAAATGCTAGCTTTATAAATAAAATATATTTAAACAAAATTTGATGGAAATTAAAATTCACAATACTCTACTATTATTAATATATTCACTCTCCATAAATTAAATTAATTTAAAACGACAATTTTAAAGTTCCGTAGGCATTAAATTAAAATCAGAAACTTAGGAAAAAAATAAATTAACTAAATTGCTAATTTAATAATAATAAAAAAAAGAGAATAATGTGTACTTTTCAACACGCGAGGGCTATTTGCTGAACTGAGCCTCCCGGAGGCATAAGATTTTCCCTTGTTTGTGAGGCTTTGCTTAACGTTATTTTTCAACCGATCTATTCCATTCAAGCTTCAGCCTCCGATCTCGAGGTAAAGGATTTTCCCGGTAAATTATATGCTTCCTTGGAAATCACCACTTGAGATTTAGGATTTCAATCGTTTGTTTGCTTTGAGATTCCAAGAGTCAAAGATCGATGTTCTAGGGTTTTTGTTTTCCTCGGAATACAATTTGCACGCACTGTTTTAGCCTATCTATGAAACTTGGTTGAAGTTATTCCAGAGATGTATAGCAATTTCAAGGAGCAAGCTATCGAGTACGTGAAGCAGGCGGTACATGAAGATAATGCTGGCAATTACGCGAAAGCCTTCCCCCTGTATATGAACGCCTTGGAGTACTTCAAAACTCATTTGAAGTATGAGAAGAATCCTAAGATCAAGGAAGCCATCACCCAGAAATTCACCGAGTATTTGCGCCGTGCCGAGGAGATACGTGCGGTTCTCGATGATGGCGGTCCTGGTCCGGCTTCCAATGGGGATGCAGCGGTTGCGACTAAGCCCAAAACGAAGCCAAAGGATGGAGAAGGAGGAGATGGAGAGGATCCAGAACAGACGAAGCTGCGGGCCGGTCTTAATTCCGCAATCATTAGGGAGAAGCCGGATGTCAAGTGGAACGATGTCGCTGGTTTAGAGAGCGCCAAGCAGGCATTGCAAGAGGCGGTAATATTACCCGTTAAGTTCCCGCAGTTCTTTACTGGTTAGTTCCATTTGACTTCTTTCGATATACTTGCATATTGATCTACGTTCTTCGTTTGCAATGGTCTTTATCACGTCGGTAAAGTTGCGTTGTCTCCTTGAGATTGGGATTTTATTCCTTTCGCATTTGGGTCTGATTTGGTGCGTAATGATTACGATTATGCTGGATTGAATGCTTGGTTGTCCTTTTTGTGCTCCTCTTTCTTGGAGTTGGAAGGAGATCCTGAGCACCATCTTCTTGTTTAATTCTAATGGTGAATCTTACCCTAATCAATTGCTTGATTCTACCCCTTCAATTACTGAATTGGACATGGAATAAACATGTGTAGAAGACTTGTTCTCATTTTCAATTATGAAGGTTTCTGCTTAGTTTTTAAATAAAAACATTTTCAAGATAATTATCTGGCTTTGTTTAGGCAAGAGGCGACCATGGCGAGCTTTCTTGTTATATGGGCCTCCTGGAACTGGAAAATCATACTTGGCAAAGGCTGTTGCGACGGAGGCCGACTCAACATTTTTCAGGTAATGGTCCTTCAAGCATATGAACTTGTCTTCTGTTATTTTTGTTTAGTCGTGACGCAATATATTTCTTCACTTACCTTGCTGTTTTCTTATAAGGTGACCCTGTGAGAAACTTACAACCCTCAAATACTCATGCAGCTCTTTTTTTTTTTTTTTTTAATTTATGGCATCAACAAAATTTATGACATGTGAGCAGCTAGTATGAAAGAGTGCAGCGAATATGAACAATATCATTTTGAAGCGATGTCTCTTATTTGCATTAGAGTTGAGGATCCAAGAGGTTAATAACAAATTTAGCTGTGTGGAATATCATTTTATAAATGTTCTATTCAACATGTCTAATAACAGATTTTGCTTTCATTCCCATTATATTCAATTGCAGTGCATACACACTCCACTTTCTATCTGGATATCTTTGGCGGTTATTTGAATGTGTTTTTAGTTATCACTAATCTCAATCATTTGCTGGTTCTATACCTTTTGTTTTAAATTGAGTATTTTTTCATTTTCTGCTGATAGCATTTCTTCTTCGGACCTTGTCTCGAAATGGATGGGTGAAAGTGAAAAGTTAGTTTCAAATCTTTTCGAAATGGCTCGTGATAGCGCTCCTTCTATCATCTTTATTGATGAAATAGATTCTCTGTGTGGTCAACGAGGTGAAGGTAATGAAAGTGAAGCTTCAAGACGCATTAAGACAGAACTTCTTGTGCAAATGCAGGTATTTTTTGTAGAGTAACAGTGTTAGTATTTTGTGTATTGAAGGAGGGGGTTGATTATTATTATTATCTTATGCACCCTAAGCCCATTCCATTGTCTTGAGAATTCTCATTTTCTGAAAATGTGTCCTTACTTGCTGCTGACCAACATTCAAGTGTTTTCTTGCTAGTTGAAAGTTGACTTCAGTTAGATCTGAAGACTTTTGTAATAATTAACAGTCCAATTACTTGTTTATGTGATTCTGCCCAACGACCTGGGTTTTCACTGCTTACACCTAAGACTTTAGAATATCTGGTTTGTTTCATATCTTGCAAAAAAATCCAAAAATTTTCAAACTTCTCCATTTGTATGGGTTTGCTACTGTGTTCACATTTTAAAATTTGGTAGTTGGGCAATGGACAAAGATGGGGACCTGGATGAGCAAGCCTGAGGCCGAGGGGTTTGAACTCATTATAACTTTCTCTTATTGTTTTCTTAACGTGCCCACCCTTTAATGTGTGTTTCACATGTTTCATGCATGCTGTTTGTTTTTTATTTTTCTGTTTGTTTGTTGCGAATGATCTCTGTATTAAATAATTTGTCAGATGAATTTTGATGCTTAGTGAAATTTGCACAATGAAAATGTAGTTTATTTTCTAATTACAGTTAAATAATCTACTCATGTATCACTAATTAAGCAATAGCTTATTGTGTCTGTGTTATTTTATTTTGGAGAAGATTACTTTGTGATTCACTTCAGGAATAAATTTAGGGAAAGGGGATGGAAATTATTTGGACATTTGGTGGGTTATAAATTTTCGGTTATGTTAATGTTTTTGGAAGCCTGTTTTTAAGAACTTGAAATCACTATTCACCAGTGTGTGATTGCATAAGAAGAACAACTTTACTTCTTTTAAAAAAAGTTCGTCCATGAGAGCAAATTGGACAAGAAAAAAAAAACATCTAAAAAATAGTTATCCAAATCCAAATATGCTATCATCGATTTTTTTTCTTCCAAAAAATAGAAAATGTATTTAGAAATGGTTTCGAAACAAACTCCATGGGTATTATCTCACTTTACCTTGTTTGTTACCAATGTTATTTGAAAATTGAAGCATATATTTCTTGCATTAATAGGGTGTAGGACACAATGATCAAAAGGTTCTTGTCCTTGCTGCAACAAATACTCCCTATGCTTTGGATCAGGTGAAGATGAAAATTGTCTATTTCCATATCATGTAAAGGATTACGGAAGTGTAATGCATATTTGCTGATAAGTAGTGTTTACAGGCCATTCGTCGACGATTCGACAAGCGGATATACATCCCTCTTCCCGACGCAAAAGCCAGACAGCACATGTTCAAAGTTCTGGGAATTATATTTTATTTCGTCCTGTAAAAAGCTAGATTTTTCTTTTTCGCCTGGAATGAACTCTGCTAAATTCCTAGATGTATTTAAATAGGTGCATCTGGGGGATACACCACATAATTTAACGGAAGCAGATTTTGAAAGCTTAGCCCGCAGGACAGATGGTTTCTCTGGTTCAGATGTTTCTGTTTGTGTAAGTGTATAATAGTAGTTGGAGGAACTGAATTATTCATTGAATTGTAATCAGAGATTAGTCAGAACATAGTTCATGGACCCCTTCTTAAATTTGCAGGTGAAGGATGTGCTCTTTGAGCCTGTTCGTAAAACACAAGATGCTATGTTCTTCATCAAGACTCCTGATGGTATGTGGGTACCTTGTGGACCAAAGCAACAAGGCGCTGTCCAAATTACCATGCAAGAGTTGGCAGCCAAAGGACTCGCCTCAAAGGTACATCGCATATTACCATCCTAAATGAGCGTTTGGATTTAAAATTTGATATTTGACGTGCAAGTACAGGTGCTCCTTGTGGCTGCTTGTTGCTAGGTACTCGCAATTTTCATTTAGTGAGAAATATATATATTATTAACATCTGTTACTTGTTTGGGTGCAGATTCTTCCTCCTCCAATTACAAGAACAGACTTCGACAAGGTTCTAGCTAGACAAAGGCCTACGGTGAGTAAATCTGATCTGGAGATTCACGAAAAGTTTACGAAGGAGTTTGGGGAGGAAGGTTGACGAGCTCGTTATAGTTATATCTCGAGTCTATCTCAATCTTCGTCGATATTGTGCTCAACCCAGCAGAGTTGTATTTTATTTGTTCCAGCTCCGACGAATTTATATATTCTTCTTTTGCCAATCGATAGGGAAGCAAATATGACATTTTGTATTGAGCTGAAACATTGAAATCTGACAGATTTCTCAAATTTCATGCCTCCGTCGTGTATAGTATTGTTGCAAAAAAAAAAATAAAAAAATAAATGGAATTTAAGTTAATGCGGCTGCTTTAAAATGATTAGTATCATCGTCAACCGCCGTCCTTCCAACAGCGGCTTTGGTCGGCCACGTGATCTCTGTGGTCGCATTCCGTCAATTTCATCCCTAATCCAACAGAATTCCTCTTTTCCAAAAGCTACCCTCCACCGACCACGATCTCTTCGGGCCAGAAGGGGTATTACTGTCAACTCTACCATCTTTGGTTTCACCACCTTCCTTAGTAGGCTGTAGCTCCTCCAATTGAACTTTACTTTCTCCAAAGTCTGTGTCTCACCTACCTCTTCTTCCTTCCTCCACCGAAGAACATGGAGAAGAAGCGTAATTGGAGCTGGGGCTCCGCCCTCGTCGGAGCTGCGTCGGCGATTGCTGCGACGGCGATCATTTCCGCCAAGCCCAAGGACCCGACCTTCCACCTGATCTCTATAAAGTTCACTTCCCTCAAGGTGAAGCCGCCGGTGGTGGACGCGGAGCTCATCCTGACCGTCCACGTTACCAACCCCAACGTGGCTCCTATCCACTACTCCTCCACCGCCATGTCCATTTTCTACGACGGCTCCCATCTGGGGTCTGCCCTGGTCGAGGCCGGTTCGCAGCAGTCCCGGTCCTGCCAGGTTCTCCGCCTCCCGGCCCGGCTAGACGGCCTGAAGCTGGCCCACCATCGCAGTCGGTTCATCTCCGATGTGGCGAAGCGGGAGATGGTTCTAGATGCTAGTGTGGACATTGGGGGAATTGCGAAAGTGCTGTGGTGGAATCACAGGTTCAAGGTGCACGTGGACAGCCATCTGACCGTTGATCCCGTCTTCCTGGATGTGCTTGATCAGGAAAATACTTCTCAACTTAAGCTGTTTCTTACATGATCGGGGATGCTATATAGTGTTAATTTCCGTCTCCCTGCGTTTACTTCTGTGAGATTAATGGATAATCCTACTGAATTGCCAATCATAGTTCATTTGCTCTTGGATTTCATAATTAATTATCAATTTTCTGCTCTAATTTTTCTGGAGTTTCCTCAAATATAGTTAATTAATTGATTTATCATTTGGGATTTGAACCCTTTTTCTCTAAGAAATTTCTAATGTTTTGGGTACCAAATCACAGCCTGATAGCGACTTTGGTTCATTTTAGTACTCAAAATAACGGTTCAATCATGTGTCATTGTTTTAATTTGTCTGCTTTGTATGACATTTTTTTCATTTAGCAATTTTTTTAAATTAAAAGAAGAACAATAATAGGATTAAATTACGGAAAAATTAAGGGTTAATTAAGGGTGAATTTGATTTTGATTGAACTTACGTTGCATTGAATCATGTAGAAAGTGAAAAGTAATCATATTTAGTATATAAATTATAAATTTATGTTTTCTATGTATTTGTTATATTAAAAAACAGAGTAGATTTGATGAGTTCACATAAATGGATGAGATTTGAAGGAACAAACCCATGATTGTGATGGTGATTATGAATATAATAATGCATTCAAGTTCCCAGAAAATGAGAAAGGAAGTTAATAAAGCGTTGGGAGGTTGCTATTTTTATGAGTAATGAGGGTTAAGGAGGGAGATTATGAATTGGAGAGCGTTTGTTGTTGTGGGAAGGAATGGAAAATGCGGATCCAAAGAAGCAAAAAGGGTTGAAGTTATTTAGAGAAAGCGATTGGAGGAGGGAAACAAGGAGGCGTTTGGTTGAAGTGGCCACAATCAAAAATAGTAATGCTTACTCTCTTCTCCTGCTCCCAACCCCCTCACCCACATTTCTCCATTTCTTCCACGATCATATCAACATAAAACACACCATTTTTGTTCTTCCCTTCTCGAATTCTTCTTAGTTTTTTGGGGTTTCTTTTATGTTCCCAACAATTCAAAGCAATGACTCTGGTTGTTCTTCGTTCCTCTGCCCTTTTTGCTTCATCCCATACAAGGGTTTCTTCTTCTTCTTCTTCTTCTTCTTCTTCTTCCGATCCTCCTAGCGATGGCGATGGATCTCCCCTTGTTGACGTGCATCCTCCAATACCCACTTCGTGTTCTTCTTCCTCTTCTTCTTCTGTGGATGGCAATGGGGAAGGGGAGGTGGTAGGGAAGGATAGGTTAAAGCAAAGGAGAGATCAGCTCTCGTTGTTGGCTTTAGTTGTGACCCTTTTGAGGAAATCTTTGATTGTTTGCAAGAGTGATAGAAGAGAGGTTTGTGCGATGGAGATCGGTTGGCCGACTGATGTGCGACATGTCACGCATGTCACTTTTGATAGATTTAATGGATTCTTGGGTTTGCCTGTTGAGTTTGAACCTGAAGTGCCTCGCAGGGCTCCCAGTGCTAGGTATGTTTTCATTGCTTATGCTCTTTTGTTGCCTTTGGTTATGCCATTCTTGAATTCTGATGTTTCATACTTCTCCTGTTTTCCTGTCTATTTCTCTACCTGAATAGCTATCTCTTTTGTCTGTTGTGAGCCTCTCTTCTTCTTTTCCTTTTAGATTAAGGATTTGTTGAGCAATGTTTCTGTTCCTGGATTTGAGGCATCATGGAAATGGACATTCGTCTAGTTTCTCCATCGGTTGGAGAGGGAACGAAGCATTCTTTATAAGGGTGTGCTAGCGAGGATGCTGAGCCCCAAAGGGGAGGATTGTGAGATCTCACCTTGTTGGAGAAAGGAACGAGTGCCCGCGAGAACGCTGGGTCCGAAGGGGGTGGATTACGAGATCCCATATCGGTTGGAGAGGAGAATAAAACATTTGTTACAAGGGTGTGGAAACCTTTTCGTAGGTGACACGTTTTAAAAGCCTTAAAGAAAAACTCGATAGGAAAATCCTAAAGAGAACAACATCCGCTAGCGGGCTAGCAGTGACTGCTAAGCATGTATTTTTTGGCTCCCCTCACCCCCAAACCCCCTCGGATGCGCCTGGTTAACTTTTTGGCTTCTCTCTCGCATCCCATGCTATTGAGAACTGTCAACCATATCATTCTAAGCTCCTCAAATGACTTCTCCAAATGTAGAGACCTAATCTATTTTGGTTCTCTACATCACCTCTCATGTGATTCCATGATCCTTACTGCATATTTGGTGCTGTTTCTCTTATAGTTCAACTGTGTTCGGTGTTTCAACGGAATCCATGCAACTCTCATACGACTCGAGAGGGAATAGCGTTCCCACAATTCTTATACAGATGCAACACTGCCTGTATGCCCAAGGTGGCTTGCAGGTACATACACCTCTCCCTTTTGTTTACCCACAATGCAGAAGGTTGTTTCAAGTCTTGTTAATTGGTTCGGCCGAGTGTGCGCGTCTGATCCGTCTCGTCACCCCTTTAGGCTGAAGGTATCTTCAGAATCACTGCAGAGAACAGTCAAGAGGAGTATGTACGTGAGCATTTAAACCAAGGAGTAGTACCAGACAACATCGATTTACATTGTTTAGCTGGCCTTATCAAGGTTATCTTAATTTAAGTTAGATTCGACGAGTCCACGAAATATTGAAACTTCGTTATAATCATTGAAATGCTTCTGAAACGAGAAACTCGTAACTCACAGGCGTGGTTCAGAGAACTCCCAGCTGGGATTTTGGATTCTCTGTCGTCGGAGCGGGTCATGGAGTGTCAAACAGAAGAAGAATGTGCTGATCTAATAAGGCATCTACCTCCTAGTGAAGCTTCTTTGCTAGATTGGGCTATCAACCTAATGGCAGATGTTGTCCAGCAGGAACATTTCAACAAGATGAATGCTCGCAACATAGCTATGGTCTTTGCTCCAAATATGACTCAGGTGAAATTCAAATAGCTTGTGTTAGTTGAGTCCACTGTCTCGAGACGAAAACATTCCTGTCGATGTATCATTGGTTGCTCGATCCATCTGACAATGTTTCTCTGGCATTCTTGTCGTGCAGATGGCTGACCCTTTGACTGCATTGATGTATGCTGTTCAAGTAATGAACTTTCTCAGGATGCTTATCTTAAGGACACTGCGAGGAAGGGAAGACTCCGTTCTCGACTCGACTGCTACACATTTAGAGCCACCTGATGAGAGTGGCCACCAGAGTCCTTCACAGCCCTGCCTCAGAAATACTGTCACCATGGTTCAGGCGGCAGAGCAGGCCGAGCCGGAGTTTGTTGCAGAACTGCCTGTTCTTGATGAAGAAGATGCACATTTTTCTGATGGAGATGTTTTTTCATTAAGCCTTGTCAAAAAACTGCTACCTAATGAGTATGGAGCTTTACTGAATGCCTACAAAGACAAAGAAGGTGCTGCAGGCAATGACTTGAAGGCAGAAGTTGTAATCCAAACCGAAAAGAACAGGACTTGTCTGTCAAATGTTTCAAATCTGAAAGACCAGACTAACAAACTAACTAACCAGAACTCTGTATTTCGAGTCTTCGCACCGGTACCGGTACAGAAGCGGCTCAGCAAACTGAGCTGTATAAATTTATCGAGAGAGCGAATTGAAGCATGGCGATAATACGCAAACAGTGAACACAATTTGCTGTGGTATAGATGTTTTTATATGTTTTTTGAATATGCTGACCCGACCCACGAGTTTGCTAATTTCTACGTATGTTTATGCTTCGCTATGGATGGCGTTAGCATAACATAATATCATACACACTGTAGTTTACGTGTATTCTTTTTCTGACTAACGTTGGCATAAGAATTGCCTCAGTTATGTCGGACGTAAATAATAAATTCTAGTTAATAGTTTTATTAATATTTTTCTTTAGGTGATGTACTAATCGAGATGGGATCACAGGAGATCCTAGAGTAGACGTGTTTTAAAACCTTGAGGGGAGTCTAGAAGAGAGAGTCTAAAAAGAACAATATCGGCTAGCAGTGGGCTTGAATAACAGCAGTGGGTTTGAGTTGTTACAAATGGTATCAAAGGCAGACACTGCCAGAATAAAACATTTCTTACAACAGTATGGAAACCTCTCACTAGTAGTGCCGGTGAGGTCGTTGAGCCTCGAAAGAGGATGAGTTTTGAGATCTCAGATTGGTTGGAGAAGAGAATAAAACATTATTTATAAGGATAGGGGGAATGCAAAAAAAAGAACAATATCCACTAGCGGGATTTGAGCCGTCGCGAATCAACCAGATTCAAGCAGTGGGGGAGTGGGTCCAAAAGAGTGCACTGAATTTGATGGGTTTCCCTTGAAATCCTTCTAGAAGGAGACAGGCATAGATTTGATTTCAGAAACCAACATCCGCAGGCCACAACAGCTGAATTCATTCATGAAACGCAAGGACGTGTTAGTTTAAGAGCCATAGCCAATGAAGTGTCCATTGGCACTAGATTTGATAGCCCACCAACCATCTGGGCGTCTCATGTGACCAGTATCCTTTCGAATATTCCTCATTTCATTGTCAACTGCCAAAGCAACACAGCACCAAGCAGAGCAAACAAACATTACCAAAAGAGATCAACTTTGTATGTTTAGCTAACTGCAAGCCTCATGCTAGCGATTATAGCAACATCAAACCGTGTTCTTCAGGGATATGCTAAATTCAAAACTCCAGAGGAAAACATATCTTAAAATCTCCAAAACAATGAGAACCACTCAATCCATGCCTGCCCCTTACAGCCACCCGTCCATCTCCCACTCCAACACACCAAAAAAGAAAGAGAAAAATCGTTCATTTCCTGCAGAGCCAAGCCATGGCTGTCTGTAAGAGCCTCCACCCCATCTTTGAGAACCCATTGCCTGAAAATCAAACCCTTCTCGAGTCACTCACGTCCTCATGGACCCACAACGTTAAGCCTGTGGAGCAGAGTCTGCAACTCTGCACAGAGGGGTTGGGGTCAGAAAGCTCGGATGATGTTGAAAATGAAAATTGGGAAATCAAAGAAGGGAAAGTGGGGATTGGTTGTGTCAAGCATGTTGCATCACGGATGAGTACCAAAGCTTTGCCTCCGCCTTTGTCTTTCATGGGAAGGAGTGGAAAGGGTGGGGTTTGCTTCATGTCGTACAGGGAAGATGGAAGGTTGGTGTTGAAAGAAGTAAGAATTGGGTGTCGGGAATTTGTAGAAGCTCGCAGAGAGGATGGGCGGCTGAAGCTGCAAATTGTTCAACCCAATGAGGAAGATGAAGATGAAGATGAAGAGGCAGAGGAAGATGAAGAACATGATGATGTAGAAGCAGAGACACCCTCGTCCTTTGTTGTGTAAGCTGTTCTGTTCTGTGTCTGGTTTTCAAGAAAAGCAAGTGTAAGAGAACTGTCAAATCTTCTTTCTTCTGTTGTTCTTGGTTACTGGATGATGTTAAGAGCAATACCTCAAACTTGAAGCAGTAAAGGATCTTTGTTCTATGATATACTAAGCAAAACTGTGAGGCTTACGACGATATGTAACAGGCAAAAACGGACAATATCTAGTAACAATGGTCTTATAAATAGTTTTAGAGACAGTCACCAAACGACGAGAGACATTAGTTAGAGTAAGGCTTATGGGTATAGCACTAACATGTGCGAGCTATTAGGCATTTTTTTTTTCAATACCTCGTTGAGGAGGGTAAGAAAAAACGTCAATGGAAATTCGAGACAACCCCCAACATCCACCGCTGCTCCATCGAACCTCTTTCTTCACATAGTCAGGAAGTGGGTTCAAGTGGGTTCGTGAACCATGTGTAGAGAGGGGGCAAGGCTCCCATGGAGAGCCAAACAAACAACAAGCTAGCCTTAATAAGACTGGTCATCCTTATGGTGTTGTGCCACCCTGTTATGGAACAAGGAGTCTACGACACCTAAACAACCGCTAGTGAGACCCTCTCCATAGTAGACACGTTTTAAAATCATGAGGCTAACGACGACATGTAACATGTCAAAGTGGACAATATCAATTAGCGATGTGCTTGGGCTGCTACAAATAGTATCAAAGCCAGAGATACTGGAAGTGTGATAAATGGTATTCAGGCTAGATACTGGAGATGTGCTAGCGAGGACCTCAAAAAAAGGTGAATTGTGAGATTATGCATCCTCCGGGGAGATTGAATGAATATAAAATAAAAAAGGTATTATTAGGTCATAAATTGAATGAAGTAGACGAGGGAGAAAATAAAAGAGGAAATAATTTGTATCTACATTTGATATAATTTAGTATAATTTAATGTTTATTTATGATTATGAAGGGCAAAATTAGTAAATAGATGGCCAATAGAGCCTCAATTCGTAGTTTGAGTTGTGATGGGGTTAATGACCCGTCTTCATTGAAGGAGGAGCCTAGGGTTCGTTCCTCGGCTAAGAACAGGGGGTCCTAATATTTTTCTACGATTCTTCATTTGAAGCTCACAATTTCGGCAGAGTTCTTCTCTAAGTAGTTTCGCTGAGTTTTCGCAGAGAGCGTCTTTGGTACTCTTTTGCTTCTTATATCATCCTTCATGTCTTTCTTCAATCTATCGTTTTCTCCACTCTTGTCATGCGCTACTGTTTTCTTTCTTTCTTTCTTTATTTGTTTTTTCATTTTCCTTTGTGACTCGCGGAATTTTTCTGCGCTTCGTGTTGTTTGAACTCAAAACTTGCACCTTTCTCTTCTATGCCGCGGAATTAATAATACTGCGACGGGTGGAATGTTATTGGAATACTAATCCTAGCAATGTAAAATTTGGGGATACAATTTAAAGGTGAAAGGTTTTATCGAGGGATTCTGAAACTGAGAATCCGTTGTTATAAGAATGCTCCTGCCATGTTCTTAGGAAAAGCGATAGAAAATCATCTTTGGAATTACTGGTGCTTTAGCTTGGATGAGCATCCAACTGTTTAATATCTGAGACTTTGGAAATTTAACCTTTTAAGGGAGAGATATGTGTCAAAAGATAGATTAGAATTTGCGTTACTCCATGAGGTTTGATGTAAAATATGGTATGGCAGTAAGACACTGGTGTACCAAATTGACGTTTGTAGGTTTTGACTATTTTCTCAATTTGGGCAATTGACGATTGTAATATATATAGGCTAAATTGACAACTGACAACTAATCACATCCCTCGTAATATATTTTGGGGCATTTTAACCTTGGCGGGTGTAGACATGATTTTGGCGACGGTCATAAACTCTCATATTGACATGACATGAATAGTAAAAACCAAACTAACATGAAAGCAAGTAAAAAGGGGTTTGGAATGGACATGCGGCCATAGGCAACACGCCTTGGACAAGCATGGCTAGGACATCTGACACGCGGCCACAAGGAGCACGCCTTGGACAAGCATAATCATGAGGTGTTCTATCCCTTTAAATGCCGAGAATCAACTGGTAGGGGAATTACTATTGTGAATACATGCCTCCGCTTGTTTTCACTGGAAAACTTGAGGGTTGGTTCATTTGAAATGATTACTGATTTTAGATGCATGCTTCTTTTCCTTTTGTTTCCTAGCTTTTTACCAACTCAACGTACTCAGTTTATGCGTTGCTTATGAGATAAAGCTGAATGAGGAGTCTTTGTATATGATGTTATTCACTGATTATTACGACGGTCAGGACGATGATGCCCACATCTGATTGCAGTTCCTTTGTTCTTTTTGCAGGGTTTACACAGATTGGTATGTTGTTTGGAACTGCTATATGTTTTTGTGAGATGGACAAAATTGATTCTCCATTTGTAGCAGCAGTCTCATTCCTTTTTTGTCTAAACCTTTTATATCAAAATGGTTCCATTGGATCTCATATGCTACTTTGCGTGGCATTGTTATATCCTTGCATTAAAGTAAAACATTCAATTGTCTCCATAATTTATTCTGCTGTCATTAACATTAGTTTCGTGAGATAGTCAGAAAATGATACCCCTTGAAAAAAGATGTAGAAAGCTAATTTGTCAAAAAGATTTTTTTTTGGTATGGCAATCATTCTGATTTCTAGACGTTCATATCTTTATGTTGTTTTGCACCACCTCCGTGATTCTCATTGCAGTCACTGAGAGACTCGTTAATCGGTCTCTTTTATGCTACTTGTGTTATAAACGTTACCCCTCTAGAAAAAAATTCTTTCACATTTCAATCCCCTCGAGTCTATTCTCATGACAACTTTTCATTTCAGCTTCATATTTTTCTTCTCCATTTGGCCTTTCTGTTTGTTTCCTCCTCTCAGTAATTTTTTATGTCTCCCCATGAATTCTTCTGGCCTCTGTGTCTTCTTCACAGTTACCTTGCAAGCTTGTTTAATTAGACAAATAAGATGCCAAGTGGAAAAGGAAATGCTTCATCTATTGCTAGACCAGTTGAACCTGAGAAGCAAAATGAATCCGAAAAGCCAGTTGACTCTGATGAGAGGGTAGATCTTGATGTTGATAATGATCCTGAGGAGGTAATGGAAGAAGATGTCGAGTATGAAGAAGTAGAGGAGGAGGAAGAGGTGGAAGAAATAGAAGTTGAAGAAGAGGAGGAAGAGGAGGAGGAAGAGGAGGGTGAGGAAGAAGATGTTGAAGAAGTGGAGGATGATGGGAATAATGACAATAGAATTAATGGCCAAAATGAAATTGATAATGATGAGGATGAAAAGAAAAAACATGCCGAGCTTCTTGCCCTACCTCCTCATGGTTCTGAAGTATATGTTGGTGGTATTCCTCACGATTCTTCTGAAGAAGATTTAAGGCAATTTTGTGAACCCATAGGAGAAGTTACAGAGGTAAGCTCGGTCATGTTTATTCCATTTCCAGATAATGGGCTTTTCACAAGGACTTATAGCATTGTGCTTCAAGCAGGTTCGCGTTATGAGAAGTAAAGAATCAAATGAGAATAAGGGCTTTGCATTTGTTACCTACAGAAGCGTAGAGTTGGCTTCTAAAGCAATTGATGAGCTGAATAACACCGAATTCAAGGTTTACTTTTTACATCTGTTCATAGTTTGCATGTCAATAAGTTGATACATTAAGTGCAAAGTTGGAAGCTAATGTTTAAAATTTGTATATCCTTTGAATTTTTTTAGAATCTTCCATGCCTTGTCTTCCCATTATCCTTTTTCAGTATTTTTATCTTCTGTTTCTCTGTGCTTATGCATGTGACATAGGGAAAGAAGATAAAATGTTCATCATCTCAAGCAAAGCATCGTTTGTTCATTGGTAATGTCCCCAGGAGCTGGGGCGAGGAAGATCTTAAGAAGGTTGTGAAAGACATTGGACCTGGAGTTACGGCTGTGGAACTAGTAAAGGTTAACATGGCAGAATTTTTCATGTTGGATCTTACTTTGCTACATCTGTGTTATGATGTCTTTTTGTTCCATAATTATTGTACTTTTCTCTTTCCAAAGAATTTATAAGTTTGTGCTCGTAACCTGGTGCTACTTTCTTTGATTTGATTTTACCCAATTTTTGGTTGCAGGATATGAAGAATACTAGCAATAACAGGGGTTTTGCTTTTGTTGACTACTATAATCATGCATGTGCTGAGTACTCACGGCAGAAGATGATGAATCCAACATTTAAGCTAGATGATAATGCTCCAACTGTTAGCTGGGCAGACCCTAAAAATGCTGATTCATCTGCTGCTTCACAGGTCTTTGTATCCATGGCCTTTCCGATAAACATAATGACTATTCCTTTGCACCTTTTAGTCGGTTTTTGTATCCATGGCCTTAGTTTATTATCAACTGAAGTCAGGACATGTTAAGTCTTGTTATTCGACTTATCTTTGAGTGATCTGTTTCCATAATAGTTTTTTTTTTTTCTTTTCCCATCTTTTTTGGTCAACACAGGTGAAGGCAGTTTATGTGAAGAATTTGCCAAAGAATGTAACACAGGAGCAGTTAAAAAGGCTATTTGATCATCATGGGAAAATTACAAAAGTGGTTTTGCCTCCTGCAAAAGCTGGACAAGAGAAGAATAGAATTGGTTTTGTACATTTTTCGGAGAGATCCAGTGCTATGAAGGCTTTAAAAAATACTGAAAAATATGAATTGGATGGTGATAATTTATCTAGAAGCTCTTCTGAAGTTTTTCATTTTACCCACCACCAAAGTGAGGCTGGTCTTTGATATCCATTTTTTATGCTTATATATTAGGTCAACTTTTGGAATGTTCTCTTGCAAAGCCACAAGCAGATCAGAAGTCTGGAGGATCAAATAGCCAAAAGTCTGGATTGCTTCCCAACTATCCACCTCGTGTTGGATATGGCTTTGTTGGGGGGCCTTATGGTGCTGTAAATGCAGGATATGGTGCTTCTGGTTTTGGTCAGGTAAAGTATTTGTGCATTTGTTTAACTTGGTATTCTCTTGTCTTGATAAGATTAACCTAACCATCTCATTTTATTCCCTTCGTCTTGAGAAGTGGCTAATTGGCTTAGAGTATAGTTATAATTGAAACTCAGAAGAATTCATTGGGAGGAACCATTTGCTGATCGATGGGATTTAGAGAGATTATTTCTCTTCTTTTAAGAAATTTGGGGAAAATACCTCAATCCATAATTATGCATGTGTATCTTTTCTTCTGTTTCAGTACAATGACCATTAATGGACACCTTGATAACTTATCTAAAATTAGTCTGACTGTGCTGTTGCATTTGCTTTTTTGCCTTGGACGTATGATTTAAAGTACACCCTTCTTTAAACTAAGAAAAGAAAAATCTGATTGAAATGCATTTGAGCTGCAGCCGTTGATATATGGAAGAGGACCAACTCCTGCTGGTATGGCAATGATGCCGATGTTGCTTCCTGATGGACGGATTGGCTATGTCTTGTAAGCTCATACATCTCACTCCTACCTTTATTATTAGTTGGAAAATGCAAATCCATGTTGAACTAAATTGCTGCATCTCATACTTTAGCTTCTGCGCTGATGGCTCATCAAAAGCTCTCCCTCCTATATCCTTTTGCAGGCAACAACCAGGATCACAGATGCTAACCCCTCCACCACATCCAAGAAGTGGCGGCAATGGTGGCGGAAGTGGCAGTAAGAATGGCGGCAGTTCTAGCAGGGGGAGGCATACACATGACAACAGTAGCCATGGTCGCAGGTATCGCCCATATTAGTTCTTGCAGTGAACGTTGTGCCCGTGAACGAACACGAAAGGTTTCTGCTAGAGGTTGCCTCTCCCTCCGCCTAACATCGTGATCATAGAGTCTTCCTACCTAATTTATGGGCTGCTTTGTAATGTGGTGGTTAGTTTTTTTTCATTTTTAATCAACGTTACCTAGGAGGTTACAGTTCAAATTAATTAATGTGTTTTGCCCTCGGTTTTGTTCAAATTCAGCTGTGGTAAAAATGGTCTTGAATACGTTACCCCATTGGTATGATTTTAATTGCATTCCTCAAATCCAAATCATTTCTTAAATTAATTTTGATCAACTGTTATAACATTATCAAGTACGTAGCTACCTAATAATAAAGCCTAAATTTAACAGAAAAAATCTATCAAAATTATGATAAATACCTCATTTCGCCTCACTTTAAAGATTGTAGAACTCTATTATTATTATTTTTTTTAAATCCCTCAATTGTTTATATATTAATTTAAAATTAGGTTAAGTTTTCAATTATTGTACATATAAACTATTAGTAATTTAATTAATTTTTTTTCTTAATTAAATTAATTTTATATAGTTTAGGATGGTTTGTGCACTTCAAAAAATAAATTAATAATAAATAAATAAAAAAATCCATTTTTGGATCGTGATTCACGTTAGTATAACGCAGTACGAAGTTTTGGTGCCTCTGTAGGTACCTTTATCTAGAATGCCCGAACAACTACGCAGTGGACTCGCCGTGCAACCAAGCCGATCAATCCCCGACTCTCGCCCTCAGCGGAATCAAAAAACTCTCTTCCTTTTTCGACAATTGAGACGGGAGAGAGGATTTCTTCCTTGATCGAGGTCTTGAACAATTTTGAATCTTCCGGGCGTTGGATGAAAGCAGGAGGTTCCGTGAGCTGAACAAAATGGCTATCCTGTATGCGGTGGTGGCAAGAGGTACGGTGATTTTGGCGGAGTTCAGTGCTGTCACCGGCAATACTGGCGCTGTCGCGCGGCGGATCCTCGAGAAGCTGCCGAATGAAGCGGACTCTAGGCTCTGCTTCTCTCAGGAACGCTACATCTTTCACATTCTGAGATCTGATGGCCTGACCTTCCTCTGTATGGCCAACGACTCATTCGGCAGTAAGTGTTTTCTCCTTGTTATTTTATCGATTTCTGCCTTCGCGCCTCCTGTTTTCTACTACGTGTAAAACGATGTTGAGAATTGAGTTAAGGTTTTCGATTTGGTGTCCGAGGCTGATAGATGGTGTTGGTGTCTGAGGCATATCGGTGGGCTTCCAACTCACAGTGATATAGCAAATCACACCACTAGCTTTAGCTGTAGAAAGTGGAATACTTAGCTTAATTAATTGCCATCACCTTCAATTAACTAATAGCAGATTCTAAATTATGAAAGAAGGGGGGAAGTTATTGGTTTCTTAATTTTGGGAACTTACTATGTATGGGATTGTCAGACTATCAAGAGCGCAGGATTTTTCCTTTTCTTAAGCTTCTCGATTCACGTTATATTGATTTCGATATCCAACTTTTTGTTGTTTGTTAGATCCTCATTTGAGGTTTAAAGATCATTGGTCTATAACTTTTTTGGTTTTGAAGTTCTTGGTTTATCGTTCCAGGGAGGATTCCTTTTTCTTATTTGGAGGATATCCATATGAGGTTCATGAAAAATTATGGTCGAGTGGCCCAATATGCCCCTGCATATGCAATGAATGATGAATTTTCAAGAGTCCTACATCAACAAATGGAATTTTTTTCTAGCAATCTTAGTGCTGATACCCTCAACCGTGTTAGAGGTGAAGTAAATGAGGTAAGTTTATTGAACATCCCATTAGTTCTTCTAGTGGACGGAGTCTTAGTCTTTATCTTGTACAATTCTACTAATCCAGCATACTTCATCTTCTGGTAGAAGTTAAAATAGCTCAATTGCTAGAGAGCATAAAATGTAAGACGCATATTGTTTTTCCCACTAATTTAAGCAACTACTTTAAGGGGATGCTTAAAGGCATTCATCAAACAAAGATTTGTCCGCTCCTCGTCCTACTTGATTAAATATCTCGTCTTCTTGCCTGATGTTTCCGAACATATGATCAAGGGCTGGTTGGTGCATCTTTTTCTTTCTAAAGAACTTTGTAGACATTAATCATTTTTATGCGTTGTTATTCGTTCACTTCTTGTTTATTCTAAATTTGTGGTGCTAAAGTTCTTATTAAAAAAAGGTTGTAGTGCTAATGTAATATGATTGTTCTTATTAAAAAAGTTGTAGGAAATACAAATACTTACCATATCATTCCTGTGTTCTCCTTTTGCTATAATACTGAATTTTGTACTTCAATTTTTGGTTCCTATCATAATGGTAGCATCACTTTTTCTGGTGGTACTTTTCTTTTTCGCCCCTAAAATATTATGTTGGAACCTTTCATTAGTAAGCAAAGAATTCAATAACTAATGGAGAAGATAATATCTTCCCCCTCCCCAGTGAAGCTTTCTAAAAGCTCTTAAATTGAAGGAGAATAGTACTAAAGGGGTTTATACAAACACGACCTGACGATCATCTTTTCCGCTACAATTAATTGTCGAGTGTCCAGGAATTGGCAGATTTCATTTCCAGGCTTCCATTACATTTTGTTCTGTATCTGTGTATACTTTCCCTCATTGTACCTTGCCTTTTTTACCATGTCTGCCTGCTTCTTTCATGTACTGAAAAACTAAAATGTGGTTCGCAGATACGGACAATTATGGTGGACAACATTGAAAAAATACTGGAGAGAGGTGATCGTATTGAACTTCTTGTTGATAAAACTGCAACAATGCAAGATGGTGCATTTCATTTCAAGAAACAATCCAAGCGACTTCGTCGAGCTCTTTGGATGAAAAATGCCAAACTTCTGTGAGTAATTAGCAGCTGTTTGGATTTCATTTTAATTTTTTAAATCACTCAGAGAATCATTCTGAAAATCTAAAAAATGGTTCGAAAGGATATCATGTATTTTTGTGCTGAAAGCTGTTTTCAGAATCCTTTTGTCCAACATCGTCTTCAAATAGCTAATATTTCTGTTTAGAAACAGAAATTTATTTTCAACCATTACTTCCAAGGAGCCCATCGAGTTCATAGCATGACACTAGTAACTGGGATCTTAAAGAAAAACGATAGTCACGAGAACATACCGTTTTCAGCTTAGATAATGGTGACTAAGAAGAAAATGGTGATTGAACACCAAAGCAAATTCTTATGTTGCTTACTTGAGATATTGAAGAATAATCAGTTTTTGGTTTCACGATTAAAATAAACCTGATGATGTTATGAGTATCTTAGCAGGAACATATAGTTAGTTTGCTTTTCTGTCATCCCACGTCGGTTGGGGAGGAGAACGAAGCATTCTTTATAAGGGTGTGGAAACCTCTCTGTAGCAGATGCGTTTTAAAAACCTTGAGGGGAATTCCGAAAGGAAAGCTCAAAGAGGACAATATTTGCTAGCGGTAGGCTTGGGCTTAGGCTTAGGCTGTTACATGTACACTTTCAAACACGTAGGCATGATATAGAATCTTATATTTCCATGTTTACAGAGCCCTGATGACATGCTTGATCGTAGTATTGCTGTATGCAATAGTTGCTGCTTTCTGTGGGGGAATTACCCTATCTTCTTGCAGATCTTGAATTCCCCAACGGGTATGCCATGATGAAAGATTTGAAGCTCATTTGCGGGACTTTCAAATTGGAGGATGGATTCAGCGGCGTTGCTCTATAGAACCATAACATATAATACCATGTTCATAAAGCTTTGAACTTTCTAGGTTTGTCCCTGTAAATTCTTCTCCTGTGGTTGCAGTATGTTTGTAGCTGCTGCTATTGCTCTTGGAAAGCTTGTGGAGTTCATACTTCTGCTTCTCATTATTTTCTTTTTGTTTTGTAAATTGCTTAATATTTAGCGTTGCAATGTGTTATTATTTGAATTGAAGATCTTGGTTTTTCAATGAATTCTTGCTTTCATTCTGCAACATTACTTTGCATGTGTTCTTCCATGGCTGCTGGAGTTCCGTGAATGGTGAAATTAGTATCTTTTTTTTTTCTCAGTTCTCAACTTGATTTGTCATATGCACTTGAAAAATATTAGTTTAGGATATTTCTTTAATTTTTCATCCAATTTGTTTATTCTTATTTTCCTACTTTCAAAATATTTATTTTTAATTATTTTATCTTAATATTTGCTTTACTTCTTTTTTTTTTTTTAAATTTAGTAATTGTTTGATCTAAGATTTAGATTTTAATTATGATTGGAAAAATAGATCGAAAATATAAGTGGAAGTACGTGAGATTCTACGTCAGTTGAAGAAGGGAACGAAGTATTCTGTATAAGAGTGAAAACTGGTTGGAGAAGGGAATATTCTGTATAAGAGTGAAAACTGGTTGGAGAAGGGAACGAAGCATTTTGTATAAGAGTGAAAATTACCACCGATCGAAAGTAGTAGGTTAAGAAAAAAAGAAAATAATAATATAATATAAAATGAAATTTAGAAGTCTAATTTTTGAAAGCTGAGATAATATAAATAATTTGGAGTTAGTTAAGGAAAAAGGAAAATATTAATATAATGCAAAATGGAAATGAGAAGTCTAATTTTTGAAAGGTTAGATAATATAAAGAAATGGGAGTTGGAAGAAACGGCCAAAATTGATGGTTTAAAGAAGAAAAGTTGAGATTTAGTTAGAAATTAAGTGAAAATCAGTCTTTAATCTTTTCATAATCTTCACTTTACTTCACAATTAGTTTAAACATACTTTTATTCACTTCCTTTAGTAGCTTTGGTTCCCATATTTTCTAATTTAAATCCACATACTCCTATTTAATACTTCAATAAAATAATAATTATAATAATAAATAATATAATTTTAAAACTATTAAAAATAAACTAATTTATTGTTTTAGGAAAAAAAAAAAAAAGGGCGTCTGCATGAACGACCAGCGGATGGCGACGGTGCCGACCACGACTTCCAATTCAACGACGTCGTTTCAATTGATGGGAATGGGAGGGAGCCGCGTTCATCTTCTACGTTCAGGGTCAGGTCAAGGAAGGCACGTGTTTTGCATGCGCCACGGTCATAATTTCTTCAATGTGCTAATCAATTTCTTTTTTTTGTTTAATTTTATTTATTACGGATATTATCCTTGCATATAAAAATTAAGTTAAATAGTAAAATCTAGAATTTTTAATTACATTAAAGGCGTAAACTCAAAAAAGGGAAATATTGCTTTAATACTAGATTTGACCCGTTATCTAACTAATACTCTCTTAATTGCATATTTAATTTATAATATAGTTTAATGATATGTGACATAAATTTATAGGTTGATATTCATGAAATTAGAAGGTCGGATATTTTAAGGAACGGATAAGAATGGATATTTTTATTTTATCTTATGAAATTATTTATGAATATTCCAAAAAGGGTAAAATAAATATCTCAAAAGAATCCCCTGAAGAAACACGGTCTTGCTTTCCTTCCCCCACATGTATTTTTTTTTCTTTTCGATTTGATCCAAAAGTTCTGCGAAATGCCAATTCAACCCCAGAATTTGACTGTTTCTTTAGTCCTATATAAAACCTCTCAATCCTTCTCTCCATTCTACAACGCTTTGATCAAAATCATGCCTCCTCCTTATTCCTCTCATCATCCTCCCTCCGCCGCTGACGACGACGGCGACGCCATAGTCGCTCTCCACTCCGACATCCTTCAGACTCATATTCTCACCCGTCTTGATGGCGCGGCTCTGACCTCTGCCGCCTCCGCGTCTTCCCGCTTCCGCCGCCTCTCCCGCGAGGACCTGCTCTGGCGCCGGGTTTGCTCAACCTCCTGGCCGTCAACTACTCATCCGCGAGTCCAGCAGGCCATTTCCGCCTTCCCTTCCGAACACCGATCCTTCTTCTCTGACGTTTTTCCGGTGCTCGATTGCCGATCGCTACGGTGTGACCTGAACCGTTCCTCTTCCTCCTCCACCTCTGAATTGATCTCTGCCGTCGACATTCATTACAAGGACAAACTCCTGTTCTCGAAAGTTGACTCAATCGAGACGAAGACGAATTGGTTCCTCGGCTCTCCATTTCGTGTTGACCTAATCGACCCGAAGGATTCGATTCCGTCGCCAATTAGACGCACGGAGAAATACGAAGATTGGCTAGGGCATCTAGAGGAGAATCTAACAGTGAGTTGGATAGTAATCGATCCGATTAAGAATCGAGCGGCGAACGTCTCGAGTAGGCAGGCAGTGAAAGCGCGATGGCAGTGGTTGTCCGGCGACATAGAGGTGGAATACACGACGGTGATGGGCGGCGACGGGAGGATAGGGTCGGCAGAGGAGATGGTGGAATGTGCGGTGGTGGTGAGTTGCGGGGAGAAGGAGGAGGAGGAGGGGATGGAGATGAGCGTAAGGGAGGTGAGTATGCGGATGTTGGACATGGAAGGGAAGCATTTGAAGGGGAAGGAGAGTATGGAGATTTTGGGGGAAGCCATGGAAAGGGGGAAGAGAATAAGGGGGAAGAAATGGGAAGGGAAATTGAGGTTCAGAGAATACGAAGAGCGGAGGAGGTTGAGGAAGGCCAGAAAGGAGAGGACTGAGAATGCTTTGGATATGCTCTGTATTTTTACTGGAATCGCCATTCTCTTCTCTTTCTGCTCTTTCTTCCTCTTCCTCTTCCTCTCCACGTAGATATTTCCCTTAATTATTTCACATTTTCACAATTTAATGTGTAATTATTTCATGAAATACAGGAAATAATTCTTATCTTATATTTATAAATTATGAATATTTGGAGCCGGTGCCTATTGACGTCAATACAGTGGGCTTCGACAATACCAACAAGTAGGCTTCGGCCCATCAAAAAACCCAATTAAATTAAAAAAAAAAAAGAAGAGGTCCCACCGAAATACCAACAAGTGGGCTTCGGCCCACCGAAAAACCCAATTAAATTAAAAGAGGAGGTCCCACCGAGATTTGAACTCGGGTTACTGGATTCAGAGTCCAATGTCCTAACCACTAGACCATAGGACCATTTGTGTTTTCCAACAACATAAAACTATAAATTAGGGTCTTTTTGCACTAATTAAATTGTATAACCACAAGTGAGGGTTTCAAATATGTTGTTTCTTTTTATATTCTTAAAACTTATATTGTATTCATTGTCCCATCAAATTGATGAATACAAGATTCAACCCACATGTATTATGATATGAGAATAGAATTGAGAAGAAATATGTCTAATTTTGGAAAATAATGATTTTTGAATTAAAGATACACGAGTACTTAAGAAAAAAATGCAATATTCTAGAAGGTAAATACACCGTGATTATATAGTAAATAGATGGTTGAATATTAAGATTATTAAGATAAGTAGTCCCACGTAAACTAATACTATTATGAAAGGAATAAAGTTTGTAGTTTGTAAAGTTGAGTAGGGAAATAGGGTCGAAGGGAGAGGTTTAAAAGGTAAGCGTAACATTATGAGTCTTAAATGTTGATTGTATCTAAAAGTCACCACCAACTTCCTTTTGTACCCTTTTACCCCATATTTTGTCTTTCCTTACTGCCTTCCTAAGAATATCTGTCTATCAAATTTCCTTTCATTGTTTCTCTACTTTTCAACTCAAAATCTCGGGGGCACAAGCTTAACTTTTGAATACAAAAAAAAAAAAAAAAAAAAAAAAAAAAAAAAAAAAAAAAAAAAAAAAAAAAAAAAA